GTGCTTTTCGGAAAGGTATCTAGATTGACACACTAAAAGTCTAGGCTTCCGAAATATACCTAATTTGCATATATTCAAAATGGTCATTTTGCACATTTTTACAATATGCAAATATAACTATTTGGACATAACTTTAATTCTAGTTGAGGTATTTTAAAAATTCAGGATGCTATGGTATTGTTTTGAGTCGGAGAAGGTATGAGAGTGCCAAATGTGTTGATTGGGTAGATGAAAATTAGCATAAATCCAATATGGCCGCAATAATATAATTATTTAATGTAACTTCTCTTCCGGTTTCTCTTCTATGTGGCATAAGTAATAAGTTTAAGATGCTAGAATACAATTTTAAACAGAATCGTACAGAAAGGATGTAAATAAATGGTTTCCTGGGTAGACAGATGCTTCATTTGCATAAACCCAACATGGCCGTCACATCTAAAAGAAAAACTGAAAGGAATGAAACACCTTGGTTGGATCTACAAATCTGCTATACTATATACATAATAGACCATTAAAACGTAACACTCTGTAAACTATATTTTTGATTTAAGAAACTGTATTAAATAGTTATAATTCTGTTTAAAATTAATGTTATAGCGAATCGTCATCGCTATCTTCATCAGATATCTGAACTACATTTGTGCATCCAGATCCTCGACATTGACCACAAACTGCAGAACATTCAAGGTTGTGCTTTCTGCAGGTACATCTGAGACTGCGACAGTCTGTGGAGCAGTTGCATCGCACTATCTTCAAGAGAAATTCAGGTGCTGCCTCCTTGTCTATCATTACAGGAATGAGTGTTCCATCACTTGTGATCCAGCCTCATTCTTCTGCTAGAAGTTCTTCATTTCCCATCCACTTCTGTACTTGGAAGTAAACACGATAACTGTAATATCTTGCTGCTGATGTAGGTGGAAGACTATGTGGTTGAACATGCGAATTCTTGGTCACAGCCTTTTCACAGAACCGTCTGTATCGAAGAGTGTCCAGATTTTCATCAGACTTCCCATTGTACAGGCTTACTAAAGCTTTCTCTCCAGCAAGTGTTATTTGATCTGAAGAAGAGCATGGATTGTTGAACACTTGCTTGTTCACGAAACTCATTATTAGTGGTAAACTTTTTAAGCGAGGCTCCTTTTCCTAAACCAAACAAACAGGAAGTTGTGTCACATCCCAAAATTGCATGGACAAACAGAAT